ATTAAATATATAAATATATTATTTAATCAATTTATAAATATATATCTTTTATTAAATTCTGTCCCAATTTTTCTCTCCGTGATAGATATTTCGAAAATCAATAAATTTTTATTTTTTTCTATTTTAAATTTATTCATATTTTTTTAAATTGTTTTTCTTTTATTTTTCAAAATTTTCCTATTCCTTTAAATCAAATTTTATTCTTCTTCTTTGAAAATTTCCATCATTTCGTATTTCAGGTTATCTTAATGATGAAAATCTCTCTATTTTTTCGATTTGTTTTTATTTCTTTTAATAATTTCCATATTACAAATTTTTTAAATATTAATTCAAATTTAAATATTTCTTTCTGTTTAATTTAAAACTTTGTTTCTTTTTTAAGATAATCTCATTTTATTTTTATTAAATATTCTCTTCTTCTTATTTTCAAAAAATCCCTCATAAAATCCAAATTTTTTAAATTCTATTATTCAATATTATTAATTTTTTTTAAATTGAGAATGTTTTTTAATTTCTCATCTTTATTATTAATTTTCTTCAAATCAATAAAAAATTTTTTCTTCTATTTAAAACAATAATTAATGAAAAATTTCTGTCATATTTTTAATTCAATTCCTTTATTTCAAATATATTTCTATATATATATATATGAAATTTCATATTCAATATATATATATATATATATAATTTAATATAATATTCAAATGATATATATATAAAGATAATAATAGGTATATTTTTTATCACTTTACTTCTTTAATCTTGAAAATATTTAAAATGAAATTTCTATCTATTTATATTTTAGGGGGGTTTTATATATTTATATATTTTTATAAATATATCTAAAAATTTCTATCATTTAATAAAATTCTTTTTTATTCTTTAATTTTCATAGTTTTATCAATCTATTTTAAATTAATATTTATATATAATATATATTAAAATATATAATCTATAATTTATATTAATTTTAAATAAACATAATATATTTTTTTAAATATTTTTTTCTGATAAAATCAAATAAAATGTAATAATCAATTCTTTATTCCCGTATTAATTTTATATGTATTTGTTTGATTTATTGTCAATTTAAATAATATTTAAAAATTTTTTCAAATACAATTCTTTTTTTTATTAAAAAAAATTCTTTTCTTTTTCTTTTTTTTATTTTCATATGTCTCCCTTTTCAGATTTCAATGATTTTGTTTCTTTTCATATATATTTAATTTATTATATATATCTTTATATATATATATAAATTTTTTATATTTATTTGTTTCAAGGTTCTTTTTTTTTTTTTTGTTTTTTTGTTTTTCAAAAAAAAATAATAAAAAAATTTTTTATATAGAAGAATAAAACTTTTTTCAAAAATTTTATAAGTTTTCTTTTACATTATTTTTTTTTCGATTTCTAAATCAAATAAATCTTTTCTTTTTCCGTTAACATTCGTTATATATATATAAATATATATATATATATATATCCTTTCTATTTGTTAAAATTGTGATTGTTTTCTATATCTTCATTTTATATCCTTTTTTATTTCCAAAACAAAATATAAATTATATATAGTATAAATATTTTCTTATATTCTTTTTATATGATAATTTTTCTATTAATAATTTATAAACTTATAATATTTTTTTGTTTTCATTAAATCCTTATTTAATTTTTTTTTCTAATTCAATAAATAAAAAAATTTTATATTTTTATAAGTTTAATTGTAATAAATAACATTTTCGTGTTTAATTTTTATGAATAATTCTAATTTAATTTATAATTTTTATATAAAATATCTCTATATATTTTCCTATATAATTCTATAATTTATTCATCTTTCCTAAAATTTTTTTTTTATTCTTATAATATATAATATAAAAAAAAATATTTCGTTAAATATAAAATTCCCAAAATTTTCTTTCTCTTCTTCAAGATATATATATTTTTATTTATTTTTATATATAAATCAATAAAATATAAAATTTAAAATAATTTTTTTTCAAAATGTTATTTAAATTTCTAAATATTTTTCAATTTTTAAGAATTAATTTTCTTTTTTAAATATACATTTCTTATTAAATTTATCAAAATAAACTTCTTTTTTTTCTATCTTTCTCCCAAGAATATTTCTTTAAATTTTGTTTTCTTACCTTTTTTTCCTTAAAAATTCGTTTATATATAAAAATAATAAAATAAATTATCCTTTACTATATATCCAATATAATTTATTTTTCTTAAATATTTATATTGGATAAAATTGTAATTATATATATATAATATATTTTATAATTTAATTTAAATATTGTCTGTTTTTATATATATCTATATATGTTTTTGAAATTTCATAATATTTTTAAAATTTGTAAACAATTTTTAATCTCTATAAAATATATGTCATTTGATTTAAACAAAATGTAAAAATATTCATCTATTTAAATTCATTTTATTCGATGGTTAATAAAATACTTATCTCTTAAATAAAAAAAACCTCGAATTTTTTTTATGGAACTATATTTATATTATATTATATTTCAATAACTAAATATTTTATCTTTCTTTTTCTTAATTAAATATTTATCCATTCATTTTTTTTATATTTTAATTAAAATTTTTCATATCAAATTATAAAAAATTCCATAAAAAAATTTATTCTTAATTCAACATTTTTTGTTTTCATTTTAATATCTATGAAATCTCTTTCTTTCTAAATTTTTATTTATATATATTCATATAAAATTATCAAATATATTTAAATAAATTTTTTTAAATTAAATTATTTGTTATATATTATATATTTATATAATTTATTGTTCAATCATATTTTATTTCCTATTTTTGTTTATGTTCATATTCCATTTATCTTGATTCATTAAATTTTGGAATATATATCTATAATATATATTTTAATATATATATTTTAGATAAAATTTTATATTTAATAAATCAATATATAAATATTTTTTTCTCATTATTAAATAAAAATTTCATTATATATATTTTTTTTTTAATAAAAAAAATATCAAAAAAAAAATGGTTTTCATTAAATGTCTCAATTAAATGAAATTTAAAAATATCTTTATGTAAAATAAGGTAATTAAATACTATATCTTTTATTTTTCCCAAAATAATTCTTTTTTGAGTTTATTAATATCCAAATTTCAAATCTAAAATTTTTAAATAATTAAAAATTTAAATTCTCTTTTCGCCTAAATATATATTTATAAATTTAAATATTTTTTTCATATTTGTGTTTTGTGTGTTTTTTTTTTAATAATATTAAAATTCAGTATTTATATTATTTTTCAATTTTTTTCTGTGTTGAAATTTTAAAAATTTGTTATTTAAAAAATAATAGAAATGAATATGAATATTTTCATTTTCGTAAATATATTATATTGTCTTTCATTTAATATATCTATATAAAATAAATATCATAAATAAATGATTCTAATTTTTATTTATGATTAATTTTTTTGATAGATGTTTCCAGAATTTCTAAGAACGAAAGATGTTTAAATCAATTTATTTTAGATACCTAGATATATTTTTTATATAAATTGATATAATGAATATTAAAATCCTTTATTTTTAGATAAATTATATTTAACCGAAAATCTTATATGCATCTAGATAAATATATTACTAGATAGATAGATATTTAATAATTTAAATAGATAGATCAATTAAAAATAGATAATAATTAGATTTTTTTTGGTTTTTAGATTTAAAATTTTTTTATTATATAAATAAATATGATAGATATAAATAAAGATTAATTTTAGATTTTAAATAATTATATATATTTAATATCTAGATATTATTTAGAATAGATAGATATTTAAATAGATAGATATATAGATATATAATGAATGAATAGATAGATGTTTAGATAATAGATAGATATAGAAAAGATGAAATAGATAGATTTTAATGAATATAATAGATAGATGATTCTGACTCTGGATGAATAATGAATAGATATATAAATATTCAAATTAATAATGAATAAATATATGAATAAATATATAATAAATGAAATTGATATAGATATTAGATAGATAGAATAAATAAATAAATATATATATGATATAGATAGATTTATGAATGATGATAGAAATATATAGATAGATAGATAGATGAATGAATAAATATAGATAATAGATAGATAGATAGATAGATAGATAGATAGATATAGATGAATATAGATAGATATAGATGAATGAAATAATAGATAAAGATAGATAGATATGATGAATAGATAATGAATAGATAATAGATAGATGAATATATAGATAGATGAATGAATGATAGATGAATAGATAAATGGAATAGATAGATATGATATGAGATAGATGAATAGATATGATTAGATGAATGATAATGATGAATGATATATATAGATAGATAGATAGATGAATGAATAGATAATAGATGAACTATATAGATATATATATGAATAGATAGATGATAGATATGAATGAATAGAATAGATAGATAGATAGATAGATAATATATAGATAGATAGATGAATATATCAGAATGAATAGATAGATAGATTTATAGATGAATAGATAGATAAATAGATAATAGATGAATAATAGATAAATAGATAGATGATAGATGATAGATGAATGATAGATAGATGATAATGAATATTTATATAGATATGGAATAGATAGATATGATAGATAGAATGAATGATGATAGATAAATGAAATGAATAGATGATAGATAGATAGATAGATAGATAGATGAATAGATATGATAGATAAATATACATATAGATAGATATATGAATGGATAATAGATATGAATGATAGATGAGATAGATAGATGAATAGATAGATGAATGAATGAATAGATAATAAATAGAATGATGAAAACTTAATAGATAGATAGATAGATATGATATTTGATTTTGATATGAATAGAATGAATAGATAGATATGATATAATAGATAGATGACCATAGATGATTAATAATTAGATGATAGATGAATTTAGGTATAATGATAGATAATGAATAGATAGATAATATGGATAGATAGATAGATAGATGATAGATAGATAGATAGATAGATAGATAGATAGATAGATAGATAGATAGATATGATGATGAATGAATAGATGAATAGATGGATATGGATAATAGATAGATGAATATATGGACTAGATAGATGATAGATAGATAGATAGATAGATAAATAAATGATAGATAGATAGATGAATAATGAATAGATGAGATAGATAGATGGATAGATAGATAGATAGATAGATAATAGATAGATAGATATTATAGATGAATAAATCATAATATGAATAGATAGATAGATAGATAGATGAACAGATAGATGATGAATATGAGATAGATAGATAATAGATAGATAGATGAATGAGATGTATATTGATGAATGAATGAATATGAACAAATAGACAATAGATGATAGATAGATAAATGATATGATAGATAGATAGATAGATAGATGAATATGAACAACTGATGATATAGATAGATAGATATGATAGACTGGATAATAGATGAATAACTGAACAATGAATGGAATAAATAGATAGATGCATAGATAATAGATGAATGATAGATAGATATTAAAGATATGATATGATGATAGATATGATAGATGTATGGATGGATGGATGAATATGATACTGGGATAGATGAATTAGATAGAACAGAAAATGATATAATGAATGATATGATTGATAGATATGAAAGATGGATAGATTGATGGGCTGATTAAAATATTCAATAGATAATAGATGAGATGAATGGATAGATAGATGGATGGATGGATGATAGATGGATGGATGTATGGATATATGAACACTCAAATAGATAGATAGATGGATAGATAATAATATATAACATAATGAATGGATGAATAGATGGATGGATGAATGAATGTATCAATAAAATAAATGAACAAATACATGGCCTCCATATAGATAGATGGATGAAAAGATGGATGATATTTAATATAGATGGATGGATACATGGATGAATTTCATAGATTTGTTGGATGAATGGATAATTTAAGATGAATGAATAAATAGATAGATGAATGAATGAATGAACCATTTCAGCTGGCAATCTAATAAAGACACACAAGTGGTTACCGATAGATAAATGGTAAGAAAATGAAAACAATATTAATGAGCGTGAACAATAAAAGAAGAGAATCAGGAATGCAGTAGATAACGACTGAAATTGTATTTCAATTTTTGATGATCAAAGTTCGCTGGAAAACTAAAAGAAGAAATTTCCACAAGGAAGAAAAGAAACTGTTAGCAAATCAATTACTGATACATTTTGGATATTCAACTACAAAATGATGAGTCCTTGTTGCTGATCTAGTACTGAACTTAAATTCATAAAGTCTAGGTACCATAGAAAAAATTCATCAAAATAATTACCATTATATATATATACCAGTATATATAGAAGAGATGAAGAAGCGACATTACATCGGTAGCAAAGTGACTGAAGACAAGATACCAGGTCAGAACCAAATAATATTGCATGATTCTTCTTTGGCTTTATCAAGAATCTATAAATATATAACATGCATCAGACCATATGCGGCAGCAATATTCGAAACCTGAACGAATTGTAGATGAATAAATATGAAGATAGATTCTGATAAGAAAATTGTCAAGCACTGACATAGTGAACCAACTTTTAAAAGCAGCGAACCTAGGAAATGAGTCAATATAACCTTTTCACTTTTATGAGCTTTTCAGTGAATTTTGACTCACTAAAGAAACAGATATATATATAGTCTCAAATTTTATGGTTAATAAACCTCCTTATTCTTGCTTCGAGTGTTTGTAAGTCAATCAGATCATTATCATTTATTTGTTAAAGCAGTTTGCACGCTGATGAGGTTTAAACTCTCCATTTCTTTCTTTATAGATGCTGCTTTAACAATTCCAAACACCGTCATTCCATAATTCACTTCTGGGTGGTTGTGTCTGGTGCCAATTTCCTCAATGTACTATAGAATGCCGTTATATATATAGTTCTATATGATGCATAATATACAAAAGTAATGGACCTCGCTTTGTGCCATCTGCAAAACTCAATAAATACCTTATTCTGATGGTATCTAGCACCCTATTATTGGTGCTTCTCGCTGTTTAATGAAAATTAAAGCACTAGTTTTACATTGAATCTGTCACTCCTTTATACTAAGAAAATCAGTCTCAATTTTTTTTCTATGACTGCAGGATTTGATCTATGAAGAATCTTTTCACCAGTTTCTCGACCAGTGATTCTCAAATTTTGTACCTTGTGGAACCCATAAAATAGTTTTTTTCATGTCTCAACCGGTGTTGTAGAAATGATTTATATACTAAATATTTATATCTATCTCTTTATATTTTTATCATACATAACGACAAACATAATATATGGACACCATGCATGCGTCCTTTACTCGAGTCCGCTACGTACAGATCCTGAGAATGTGATTTCAAACTAACGTCATATCAACATCGCTATATACACTCCATATGATTATTATAATTTTAAATAATATAAAAGGTTGAAGCCTTTATTATAGTAACCAAGGATTTTCCAAAAATATTCCGTACGTGTATAGTAAAATTACGAATATAAAATTAATCAAAATTCATTAACCTATTTATCACTTTTTCTCGCGAAACCCCTGACGAGCTCTTGAGAATCCTGGGGCTTCGAAAGACACCTGTTGAGAAACACTGTTCTAAGCAGTAGAGAAATGACGTCTTTTTTGACCACTGTACATTCAAATCATGGGATTTGTCCACTGAATTAATAATCAACACAATGAGCGAGGAACATTTTAAATATCATTTTAATGGAAAATATTCATTAATTACTGCTGTGTTCAAATAAACAAATTGTATGACTTAAAAAAATGTAGGCTAAGCAGACAAGTTATGTAAAGAACTAAGAGTCAATTGGTTTTTTTGTAAAAAATCGCTAACATTTATGTATCAAATCAAGAACGACATGCAAAATAGAGATAAAAGTCTCCCTATTCTTGTAATAGATGACTTTTCCATGATGGAAGAAACTAAAATATTGATGAAAATGTTTTGAAGCTGGATGCGTAAAAATGGCGATTTTAAGAAACCTTAGAATCTACGCATTTCACTTGACATTAATTTTATGTCTGTCATTTTTAACATTTTATTATAAATGAAACTAATCTTCTCTCTCTCTCTCTCTCTCTCTCTCTCTATCTATCTATCTATTCAATCTATGTATCTATTTATCTATCTCTCTCTCTCTCTCTCTCTTCTATATATATATATATATATATATATATATATATATATATATATATATATCTTTCTCTCTCTCATCCAGCTTTTGTATATTTTGGGGTGACTTAAAATATTTATAGTCAATTTTATATCAAGGAAAAATGTAATCGTTGAATTGTTCGTTAAATTAATGATATCAGTTTTTTTTATGCAAAAAACATGAATCTAAAATTTCCTTTGATATGTTGCATATCATCTAAATATATTTTCATTACTGGAAGAATATGAAGACATATAGTGAAAAGTGAAGTTTGTTACTGCAGATTTACACAGGCAATTATAGCAAAATAATGTTCTATCCATTATTAGTTATGAGAGAAGTTAGTGTAAGGGTTTGAAATCAAAGATGAAAGTTACTTTCATTAATTCTAATTAGAATGTGTGAGAATTAAATTAAAAAAGAAATGGGTCCTTCATTCGTTTTGCTATCAAGAGTGTGTTTATTAGTTTAAGTCCTCAATCCCTTCTCTCGTCAATCAATTTGAATCGCTATCATCTTCTGTCGATAAAAAAGAATACTTTTTACTTGTCATTGTCTTCCAATTATACTCTCGTTTTATCAGGAGTACCTTTTTTCTGACTTTCCACTTATAACTGATTCTCTACTGTGTGGTATGGATGTTTCTGCTGTCGTCTCTAAACTTGATCCCCCAAAAGGCATGCGGACTCAAAGATATCCCTTCAATTTTTTTGAGAAATGCCCCCAAAAATAGGGCTTTTACTTCTCTAGGTCAACCGCTGAGGTTTTGATAGTTTTGTTGTAAGAGTCTATCAAGCTTTGGCCTTCAGTTTGCTGCTAACTTGTTCAAGGAATGGCTTGTTAATTTTAACGCCTCCAAACGAAACTACTCTCTACTAATCATCTTTATTGTCTTCCATAAGTATGGCTGATGCTAACCGCCAGGATAACAACTCAATGCGACTTATTGGTCTTACGTTTTCTACTTATATGGGTGGAACGATTATAATCTGAATCATGATGCGCTAGACAGTTTTTCTCGACAGAATCTATCTTACAATGGTTTATCACAAAGCCTTCAATCTAATAATGAAAGAGAATATTTAATTTAGACAATAAATTTTTATTTTTCAACATAATCACCTTCCTGTAACTACACCTAAATCACTACTGAATATTATAATCCCAGAGCACAAATATTATATAGAAACATTTCCATATCATCTAATTGAAGCCAATCAATTGAGGATCATACGCCTTAGTCTATGTACATGTACGTGAATACATTTTAACAAATACTTGTATATATAATTCATGCACACAATAAGTATTTAAATTTTTTAAATATATAGAATTTGTCCATACATAAATGTATTCTTAAATATATTTTCTATAAAAATATATTTTATATCCTCTCAAATTCAGAATTTTAACAAAAGATGGTTATTAAAATTCAAATTCAATCTTTTATGTTCAAACAGCAAATGGAAGTTAACTTTGGAAAAAAAATACAGGAAGCATTTTATGATGAAAATCATTGAACACTGAAAGCACCAAAACATTCTATAAAACTGTTTGAGAGAAAAATTCGCCACTTTTCATAAAAAAAAAATATTTTTGATCACTGTTTTTACTCAAGAACCTGAAAATTTGTTTCTTTTCAACTTAATGAAAAGGTTTGTAGAGGTATATTAAAAGTAATAGTAAATGGATTAGTAACTTAAAACTAGCTGATAATACAAAGTGTTCAAAAATTGTCCAGGAAAAATACATTATTTAAAAGCCCATGTTGTTCTTGTGCTTTTAGTATATTTAAAATAAATATCAACATCTAAATTGAAAAAATATAATATTTTACCAATAATGCATAGAATACACTAAACCAATGAACTTAATTGGCGATAACTCTATAATAAAGAGATGATTTTATAACCACTCACAAAAGCTCACAAATATTCAATGCAGCACACCCCCTGTAACATAACAACACATGTCAAGTCAGTCGTCCAGTTTTTTTAAACATGCTGTAAGCATGTCTTGTGTAAACATTCTCATGTGCCTCAGTGCAGATTTATCTCAATGAGAATCTACTGAGGAAGATAGATCAGGTGACAGTGATAATGACAATGTGCTGTTGAAATGGCCACTATGTTCATCTGACTTGACACCTTGTGACTTTTTTTTTTCTATGGGAGTAAAAAGGAAAGGACAACATCTCCACTCATTCCCAGACAAGCTGAGAGGAACTTGCTACAGAGAATCACTGAGGTGCTGGAGAATTAAATACGTATGTAAAATGTAAAAAATTAAAAATCAGAAAGAGATATTGACATTTTGGGACACATAATGAGGAAGAAGGGCTTGGAGAATTTGACACATTTCTTCTTTTTATGACAGCCAACTTATCATCAAATACCTTCTGAATGGATGGAAATTTTCAAAATAGCATAGGTACTATTTTACAATCTGACATAGACAATCATTGCTTTTCACTGAGTTTTTAATATTAGTAATGGATGGTTTTCCCCATTGGCTTAGCCATAGTTTTCAGAGATCTTCAAAATTGGATACCAACAAAGGCTAAAGAATAGTCTACCCTG